TGTCACACACACAGATATGGAGATGTAAATGAAGCAACGTTAATGAGTCAGAAGAAAGGAGTAAATGTAATTCTGCTATGTTGGGATAGGGTATGCTTGCATTGCTTTAGGCTGATCTGTATCTCCAACTACTTCATCTCAATTAATGAAAAACATAATGAATAACAATTCATGTGACAAAGTGAAAAAAAGCTCTTGAGGTCTTACCTATATTATCCTTTATTGCTGCTGTAGATGGGCCGTCTTTTTATTAAGAGAAGCTGAATTCCATTCTTTACTCCCCTGAAATATATATTTGTTTCTTATTGTTCAGTTTGACTCATAAGAATGCCCTAAAAAGCACCCGTCAGCACATGTCAGATAGAAAGGCTTTGGAGTGGAATTAAGGACAGAGCTCCCGCTCTCGGTGTTTTTGGTCCGGGAGAGCCCCCGGGGCCGGTGCAGGCGCTGAGCCCCGCCCAAAGCCGGGCGGCCTTGAGCGCGGCCGTGCGGCGGCTGCAGTGTCGCGGTGGCGCCTCCGGGTGTCGCTGTTGGCCGCCGCCGAGCGCCGCTGGAGCCGCCGCCGCCGCCGCAGCGTCCTGCCCCCGCAGGCTGCTCGCTCGCCCGGCGCCGGCCGCAGCGGCAGCGGCACCGACAGCAGCGGCGGCGAGAGGCGGCCCGAGCGGTGTGGGTGGCTTTCAGCGGTATCTGTTTTGGGCGGCGAGAGCGGCTGGAAGGGAGGCAGGGCAGCGGCAGGAGGCAGGAGCGCGGCGAGCGCAGCGGGCAGAGAATGGCGGTGAGGCGGCGGCAGAGGCTTGGGCCGGGCGGCGGGCGAGCGCTGCTGGGCGCGCTGCTGCTGCTGCTGTGCGTGTGGTGCCGGGCGGCGGCCGAGCGGGTCCGCTACGCCATCGCCGAGGAGCTGGGCAGAGGCTCGCTCGTGGGGCCGCTGGCGCGGGACCTGGGGCTCAGCGCGGACGAGCTGCCGGCGCGCAAGCTGCAGGTGGCGTCTGGCGGCAAGAAGCAGCTGAAATACTTCAGGGTGAATGAGGAGAACGGGAACCTGTACGTGAACGAGAGGCTGGACCGGGAGGAGATGTGCGGCAAGTCGGCGACCTGCTCTGTCAGCTTCGAGGCGCTGGTGCACAACCCACTGAACGTTTTTCAAGTCGAGGTTTCTATTGTGGACGTGAATGACAACTCGCCAGTTTTCAGCAAATCTGTTCTGGACCTCGAGATCGGTGAATTAGTCCCTCCTGGTGCTCGTTTTCCTTTGGAAATGGCACGAGATGCAGACGTAGGCAGCAACTCGCTGCTGACTTATCAACTCACGAGCGACCCGTCCTTCTCACTGTCAGTGAAAGAAAAGCTGGGTGGAAGGAAGCATCCGGAATTAGTACTGGAGAGACCACTGGACCGGGAGAAGCAGAGCTCCTTTGAGCTGGTGCTGATAGCAGTGGACGGTGGGGAACCTACCAGGTCTGGGAGTGTCCTGATTCACGTCAACGTGACAGACGCAAATGACAATCCGCCTGTGTTCAGCAAAAGTGTCTACGAGACTCGAGTGCCGGAAAATCTGCAGGCGGGATCTCTGGTGCTGAGTGTGCGGGCCACGGATGCGGATGTAGGCTCAAACGGGCAGGTGTCCTACTCCTTTGGCAACATCCAAGATGAAGTGCCCTCACTGTTCACTATCGACAGCGAGAGTGGAGAGATCAGGACGGTTGGTCCCCTCGATTTTGAGAAGGAAAAGATATACATTTTTAGCTTGGAGGCGACGGACGGCGGCGGGCTCACTGATCACTGCGAAGTGCAGATCGACATCACGGATGAGAACGACAACGCGCCTGAAATCACCATTCTGTCCCTCTCGAGCCCAGTGCCCGAGGACGCTCCGGCCGGCACCGTTGTAGCCCTCCTGAACGTGAACGACGCTGATTCGGGCGAGAACGGTCAGGTGTCGTGCGAGCTGTCGGGAGAGGCGCCGCTGTCGATCGTGGCGTCGTCGGGCGGCTCGTACAAGGTGGTGACATCGGGCGCGCTGGACCGCGAGCAGGCGTCGGAGCATCGCGTGTCGGTGGTGGCCCGGGACCGGGGCAGGCCGGCGCTGCGGAGCAGCAGGGAGCTGGTGCTGGAGGTGTCGGACGTGAACGACAACGCGCCGGTGTTCGAGGAGGCGGCGTACAGCGCGTACGTGGCGGAGAACAACGCGGCGGGCGCGCTGGTGCTGCGCGTGCAGGCGCGGGACGCGGACGCGGGCGCCAACGGGCGCGTGAGCTACTGGCTGGCGGGCGGCAGCGCGGGCGCGGCGGGGGCGGCGCCGCTGGTGTCGGTGGAGGCGCGGAGCGGCGCGCTGTACGCGCAGCGCTCCTTGGACTACGAGCAGTGCCGCGAGTTCACGGTGGCCGTGCGGGCGCAGGACGGCGGCTCGCCGGCGCGCAGCTCCACGGCCACGGTGCGCGTCTTCGTGCTGGACCGCAACGACAACGCGCCCAGGGTGCTCTGGCCCGCGGCGGCGGCCGGGCCGGGAGAGGCTGCGGGAGGGGCGGCGGCGGCGCCTTTCGAGGTGGTTCCGCGCTCGGCCGAGGCCGGCTACCTGGTGGCCAAGGTGGTGGCGGTGGACGCGGACGCGGGGCGCAACGCGTGGCTGTCGTACGAGCTGGTGCAGGCGTCGGAGCCGGCGCTGTTCCGCGTGGGGCTGCACAGCGGCGAGGTGCGCACGGCGCGCGCCGTGGGCGAGCGGGACGCGGCCAAGCAGCGGCTGGTGGCCGTGGTGAAGGACCACGGGCAGCCGGCGCTGTCGGCCACGGCCACGCTGCACGTGGTGCTGGCCGAGAGCTTGCAGGAGGCGCTGCCGGAGCTGAGCGAGCGGCCGGCGGGCGCCGAGGCGGCGGCGGCGGCCGAGCTGCAGTTCTACCTGGTGCTGGCGCTGGCGCTGCTCTCGGCGCTCTTGGTGCTGAGCGTGGCGCTGGCCGTGGTGGCGCGGCTGCGCCGGGCCGGGCCGCCCGCCGTGCTGCGCTGCCTGGGCGCGCAGCGCTTCTCGCTGGCCGGCGCCGCCTTCCCGGCCGACTTCTGCGAGGGCACCTTGCCCTACTCCTACAACCTGTGCGTGCCGCCGCCCGCCCGCGCCGTGCCCGAGGCCGCTTGGCCGCCGCCGCCGCCGGTGCCCATCCTGTCGGCGGAGGAGCTTCTGGGCGGCGATTCTGTCGGGAAGCCGAGCGCGGACAGTCAGCTCGCCTTGGGAGAGCAACCCGCCGAGCCCGACGTACCGCAGGTCTGTAATGCCTGAGCTCCTTCTGTTTTTAAAGTTCTCGGAATGTCACCATTGTTTCCCGCGTATTCTTTGCATGGTGTCCGTGGGGATTCGTAATCCGTATCATCACGCAGCGGCTGAAGTTTTTCGTTTTTCATCGTTAGCAGCTTCAGGTGACAGGCTTCGGCAGTACCTCTGCTTTCGGCTAGTAGCGGCGCTTCTGAGTCTTTATCCTTGTTTCCTGGAGTTGGGTTTGTGTGAGTTGCGCAGTCCTGTCTCCGTGACAGACTGAATAAAGGAACGGGCTGTCTCCTGTTCACTGAGAGCAGGAAGCCGTGGGTTATTCGTTGGTCACAGGTTCAGCTTCAGGCGCGAGGTTTTGTCTTCAACAGTTGAGCTCTATAAATTAGAATGTGTTAGCAACATTCCTACTGATTCCTATTGTGTGGAAGTAGAATTGCTGATTGTGCATGATGGATTCAAGAAAAAAAAAACCCAAAGCACAGACATCTGGTGTTATCGCTCGTTTTGGAGTCAGGGGTAATGCAGCAGAGGGATTACATGGTTTTGTTTATGCGTCCTGGCTGATTCTGTTTTGCTCTTCATGATCTTTATTTCGTACACTGGTGGGAGTGCTGAAAGATTTCTGTTTCCAACATTGTTTTATTTCTATCCTCTTTTCACAATAATGTTGGAGGTTTTAGTAGAAGTCGCATATATTGCGAAGTGAAAATTTTTGCAATTCTGTTTTTCGGGATAAACATCTGATATACGAAGGGGTCCCATGTAAGGGAGACTGGCTAGAGGAGCGTTTAGGCACTTGAATCAGGCTCGTTTGCACACTGATTAGTGGTCAGCACAGTTTCAAGTGTTGTACTTGTGTTCTACGGTTCCAAGATGTTTTTCTTGAACACATATCAATCATATCATATCATATCATCGTCCTTAGAAATACTTAGCTGAATAGCTTACTAACGAACTACTGTGCTGTACACACTGAATTTAGGAAAAAAAGAAAACCTAGAATGTTTTGATTAATTGTAAATCTGTATAAACTAAGGAACCACTATATCCACTAGGAAAGGATGTCAAATATTTCAAGTCCTGAAGTTTTCTTTTCTGAGTTTCAGGTGCATCTTTATTTGTACCTATAATTGAATCCTGTTATATCTAGCTCCCTGACTCCAAGAAGAATGCAATTGCTCTCATCACACTTGTGTTAAGGAACCTGATAGTTTTGTATTTTCGGCAAATGCTATCTTCCGTTTTCTCTTTGTGAGGCTAAGACAAAAAGGATAAGATTAATAATAAGCTACAGGGGAAAATATCTACGTAATTAACGTATAATGACATGCAGAAAGTGATGAGTTTCCCGTGCGATTAAAGAACGCCGTACACAGAATGCCTCTGCCTTCCTCCCGGTGGTGATACCCTGGAGGATGAAAGCAGAGATGAGCTGGAGAAATGCGGAGGCAGGAGATCGGCGCTGGACGAAAAGCGACATCTCGGTGGCGACCGTGCCCTGTACGGAGCGAGGCCGGGCGGGCAGCGCTGGGCAGCGCTCGGTGCCTGCAGTGCCGGGAGGAGGCTGCGGGCGCCGCTGTTGACCGAGAGGAGCGAGAGGAAGCTCGGAGCGCTGCCGGCAGCCCCGCCCGCTGCGGATCGGCTCACTCGGTTGCTCGATTCCTTTCTGAAGGAATCGGCAGCTGCCCACGGTGCAGGAGCTGAGAGCACAGAGTGGCAGCGGGATTGGATCGGCGGTGCCGGCGGTGCCGCTGTGGAGATGTGCGCGGCGGGGAGGCGCTGGGGCCGGCGGCAGCGAGCTCTGCTCTGGGCCGTGCTGCTGGCGGCGTGGGAGGCGGCGTGGGGGCAGCTGCGCTACTCGGTGCCCGAGGAGATGCCCAAGGGCTCGTTCGTGGGCGACGTGGCCAAGGACCTGGGGCTGCAGCTGACGGAGATCCGAGAGCGGGGCATCCGTGTCGTCTCCGAAGGTAGGACGCAGTATTTCGCTCTGCACGGGAAGACGGGACATTTAGTGACGGCGGAGAGGATCGACAGAGAGCAGCTGTGCGAGAGTGTGCAGCAATGCGTGCTGCGCTGTGAGCTGATAGTGGAGGGGGAAATGAAGTTCTACGAAATAGAAGTGGAAATCACGGATATTAATGACAACGCGCCCACCTTCAAGGAAATTGAGCTGGAACAGAAAATGAGCGAGACTACAGCTCCAGGGTCTCGGTTTCCGTTATCCGAGGCTCACGATCCTGACTCGGGTCGGAATTCGCTGCAGAGCTACGAGCTGAGCGGTGACGAGCACTTCTCGTCGCCCTGCAGGCGGGCCCCGGCGGCGATCAGCGTCCCGAGCTGGTGCTGGCGAAGGCGCTGGACCGGGAGGAGGCGGCGTTTCACGAGCTGGTGCTGAGGGCGATGGACGGCGGCGATCCGGCACGGACGGGCACGGCTCGGATCCGCGTGACCGTGGTGGACGCGAACGACAACGCGCCCGTGTTCAGCCAGGCGGAGTACACGGTGCGTGTGCCCGAGGACGTGCCCATGGGCTCTGTACTACTCACTGTCACGGCCACTGACTGGGACGAGGGGCTAAACGGGCACGTGAAATACTCGTTTAAGAAGATCACAGAGAAAGCCTCGAAGATATTCTACTTGGACTCTGAGACAGGAGAGATCAGGCTCTTGCAGAGCTTGGATTTCGAGGAAGGCAATTCCTTCGAACTGGAGGTGCAGGGACAGGATGGCGTCGGACTTTTCGACACTGCCAAAGTCACGATGGGAGTCGCGGATATAAACGACAATGTGCCGGTGATTTCCGTGCGGTCAGCGCTAAATGAGATTTCTGAGGACGCCCCTTCGGGGACGACGGTCGCCCTGCTGCACGTGCAGGACCGGGACACGGGGAAGAATGGCGAGGTGCGCTGCTCGCTCGACAAGGACATCCCGTTCCGGCTGCAGAGCTCTCACGGCAGCTACTACAGCGTGGTGACCGCGAGAGAGCTGGACCGGGAGCTGGTGTCGGAGTACAACGTGACGGTGCGGGCGGCCGACGGCGGGTCGCCGTCGCTGCAGAGCAGCGCGGTGGTGGCGCTGCGGGTGCTGGACGTGAACGACAACGCGCCGGTGTTCGCGGAGGAGCGCTACAGCGCGCGGCTGGCGGAGAACAACGCGGCGGGCGCGCTGGTGCTGACGGTGCGCGCCACGGACGCGGACTGGGGGCAGAACGCGCGCGTGCGCTACCGGCTGGCGGAGGGGCGGGTGCGGGGCGCGCCGCTGTCGTCGTACGTGTCGGTGCAGGCGGAGACGGGCGCGCTGTACGCGCTGCGCTCCTTGGACTACGAGCAGGTGCGCGAGCTGCAGCTGTGCGTGCGGGCGGAGGACGGCGGCGCGCCGGCGCTGAGCAGCAACGTGTCGGTGCGGCTGCAGATCGTGGACGAGAACGACAACGCGCCGCAGGTGCTGTACCCGCCGGCGGCCGCGGCGGCGGCGTGGTCGGGCGTGGAGCTGGCGCCGCGTTGGTCGGAGGCCTGCGCGCTGGTGGCCAAGGTGGTGGCGGTGGACGCGGACGCGGGGCAGAACGCGTGGCTGTCGTACGAGCTGGCCAAGGCGACGGAGCCGGGGCTGTTCCGCGTGGGGCCGCACAGCGGCGAGGTGCGCACGGCGCGCTCGCCGCTGGCCCGCGACGCGGCGCGCCACAGCCTGGTGGTGCTGGTGCGGGACCACGGGCGGCCGGCGCTGTCGGCCACGGCCACGCTGAGCGTGGTGCTGGCCGAGAGCGTGGCCGAGCTGCTGGCCGAGCTGGGCGGCGCGGCGCACGAGGCGGCGGCACCGGGCGAGCCGGCCGCCAGCCTGACGCGCTGGCTCGTGCTGGCCGTGGCCGCCGTCTCGTGCCTCTTCGTGGCCTTCCTGCTGCTGCTGCTGGCGCTGCGCCTGCGCCGCTGCCACCGCCGGCGGCTGCTGCCGCCGGACGGCGGCGCCTCGCGCGGCGTGCCCGTCTCGCACTTCGTGGGCATCGACGGCGTGCGCGCCTTCCTGCGGTCCTACTCGCACGACGTGTCGCTCACGGCCGACTCGCGCAAGAGCCACCTGCGCTTCTCGGCCGCCAGCTGCTGCGACACCCTCCCGGCCCGGCCGCCGCCCGACGAGCCCGCGCCGCTGCTCGGGGATGTGGACCCGGCCGGCGCCCTCCCCGCGGACCCCGTCCCTCCCTCGGTGAGTTCCTCTCCTCAGATTTTCTCCGCTATTCTTTCTTGTGATGCTCCCCTGCCCTTTCCCCGCCGTGTTCTCTGGCTTGCGTCGGAGACTTTATCTAAAAGCTTGGTCAAGTTTCCTTCGATTAACTTTGGAAGGCCGGTGCCCATTTTTGGCCTTATGTGAACACGGTCCTCAGCCTTCCAGTATGTGAAGAATGACGGAGGGAGAAGGCTGCTGCTGGCAGGGTGTTGGTTTGGTTGGGAGTTTGGGTATCGATCATTTTCCAGGTATTGTTCCCCTATATCAGCTCTGTTGTATAGAATCTGTGTTCCTGATAGCATTGGCTCTTTTGAAGTGATGCATCCGTTTTTACAAAGTACAACTTTATAGCAGGCTCGTGTGTCTTCCGAAGAGCACATGTGCTTGAATAGGTAGAATGTGTGTTGAAGGAAGTGCTGATGGCTTTGTTTGGCACGTCTCTGCACGTTGTTCTCCGCCTTTATTGTTCTCCATGATACATAGTGGAGGTCAGCAGGAAGTGTTTGTATCATCCATGCTTCGTTCTTTGTCCCCATGAGAGGATTGGACAGGGCAACATGTGGTGTTTGATGATGTCTCTCTGTCTTTTGTGGAGATGAAGGATCCTCTCAAATTTGTGATTCTTTGAAAAGGCTGTGTGTGCCTGCATGTGGAGGAGGAAATGCAGGAGGAAATGGCAGAACTGCTTTGGTTTTTCTTGTTTTTTAAAGTAGATCTATGTCAGATGGAGCTGATTGAGCCTTGGGTAGAAAGTATTTAGCATGGCAAGAGAATTGCCTGGATGGAAAGGGAGAGAATCAAGGTGCAGTGGCAGATACAAGGTGGGCATAATTCCCTGTCAGCAGGTATTCACTGACTCTGTTTCTCTTGAAAGACTGCTCGGCTTTTCTATTGAGACCTATGAAGCCTCTTCACGCAAGTCCAGTGAGCAGCAAATGTATCTTCCACAGCACAGAGATGTACAGACAGCTGTGTGAAATTGGTGCTGGGAAGAAAAATGGTCTGGGTAACTGGGCCCTCACTGTCACATGTTTTTAAGGTAGATGGGTGAAAGGACACCATGGATGGTGTGAAGGGCTGGAAATCTGAGTGCTGTGAGCTGTGTGTGAATGTCTGCTGAAAGACTCAAGGGAATGATTTCCTCCATTCCCTATCTTCTATCTCTAGGATGAAGCAATATGGGGTTCTTCTTCCCCAGGGAATTGTCTAGAAGATCTGTATTCCAGCTGCATGGGGAACCTTGACAGGTTCTTAATAAGTATTTGTTTGTCATCACAATGGTGTCACTTCAAAGCATAATTTTGTACCTATATGTGTTATGGGAATTGCAAGCTCTGTGTTCAGTGCCTATAAACAACATCATTAATCGTATACTCTGAGTTATATAATCTAGAAGAGAGCTGTGAGCTGTTCAATTGTGCAGGTGTTAACTTTCTGTCTCATTCTTCTGATGATCTGAATATGGTTCCTTCACGGTTATAGGTGACAAGATAGAGACTTCCATAGACAAGTTCCTTGAAAATGTCTCTGTAATAAATGCTTTTTCTTTTCCCATGGCTAGGGTGAGATGTCAAATATTGGCAATAGTAAGTAGATACTGTCTGAGCAACTTTCCTCTTGGTGGAGTCTCTCTACATTCTGAAGGTCTCTTCTAACCATGGGAGCTGTGACAGGTTTACATGGAAGTGTTGGGGGAGTGTGAGGAGGTCCTGGTGGAGACAGGCATGTGTTTTGTTGATCCCCAGGGCTATTGCTGGCCTTCTGAAAATGAGTCAGGAGGAGTCTTATGATTTTCAATTTTGTGGTTTGGACTGAAATGGCCTAGTTTGGGTTCCATATTCCATTGCATCAAGAGTGGTAGTCACACATCCTTTGAGGAATCCATGTGCTGAAGAATGGTGATGTTGCCTTTGAGGTGATACTTCGATGTGTGGGTCTTTGAGAGAGCTGGTAATAATTTGTGGCCTGTGTGACAATTCTGTCTTGTTTAGGTAATATGGAGGACCAGAATTATCTCAGTTGTGATGCTTGGGCTCTGAGAAGCTGTGCACACAACTTTTCTTTTGTAATGTCTGTTTGCAAAATTTGCTTCCATGTTATGTTTGGCCAGAGAGAAGCAGTCTGTGTATGCAGAGACAGGGCTGGTGCTGGAGTTCACTGTGATTCAGTTCAAAATGAATGAATGGTGTCCAGTTCTATTTGTCATGGTATTTAGATGAGGGCCCCAGCTGTGGTTCCAAGCTTTTTGTTCATCTTACTATCCAAGGAAATGACAGCCTGGGGCCTGTGGAGTGACTCCTGTGTGAGGCCCCTGTGTATTGGTTCTAGTTGAGTTTGCTGGGTTGTGTATATACTGCAGTTGTGCCTGTCTGCAATATGAGGCCATGATTGATACTCTTCTGGTGTTTTCCCATTCTTGGCTCGATTCATTTTAGTTCCTTTGGATAATTTCTTTGGGTTGAGTTGGGTTGTGTTTCGTTGGGTTGGGTTGGGTAGGGTTGGGTTGGTGTGTTTGTTTGGTTGCTTGTATTTTTGTCAAAGAGTAAAGCTGAATGTGTCTGGCAATCCTGCAAACTCTAAACATATCATTATCCAGTTTGGAGAGTATCTCTCATCCATCCCTTGTAGCTGTACTTGTAATCATAGAATCCCAAAAGCACAGAATGAGAGAATGGTTTGTGTTGCAAAGGACCTTGAAGAGTCTCTTGTTGCAGCTGCTCTGCCATGGGCAGGGACATCTTCCACCAGAGCACGTGGCTCAGAGCCCCAGCCAGCCTGACCTTGAATATTTCATTCAACAAATACAACTTCATGAATGGATGTTTCCCCGAGGTATTGTTTTTCTCTGTGGCCAACATGGAACCAAAATTGTGGTTTGTGTTGATGGTGAAACTGAAGGCTGTGAATGCAGAGTGAGGAGGGTGAGAGCTCAGTTCTGTGCCAGGCAAATGGGGGACTGAGTGTGGGTTTGGCAGAGAAATGGTTTGATTCCATGCTTGGTGCCAAAGGCAGTGCCATTGCTGTTCTGATCCTGGTGTCTCTGTCATGAATGACAATGACGGCCCTCCAAGAGGAACATTTTCCACAGTAACTGTTCATGTAGAAACATAACTGTTGGCTGGAGGAGTTAATCCTCTGTGAAACCTCCCTTATCCATCCGTATCTCTATGCCACACTGTGATATAGAGTTTCTTCAGAATTGTAATTACATTTTCATTGAGGGCTTTGTCTTTAGGAAGGTTGCAACTCATTTTCACATTCCTGGTCAGTATTTTAAATAGGAGACAGTGGCTGTGGTTTTTCATCACATCCTTACTTCAATCACTTTAGCTTGAACAGTGTGTGGCGGCTATGAAGGAGAAGCAAGAAGAGAATCTGTTGTAATTTGTCAGAAAATTTACCTTGAGAAAGAGGCCAATGAGAAGCTTATTAGAAAGATGGGTGTATAACTGTTCAAGGTGAGCAGGCCATGCAGTAGAAATAGTTACTGAGGAGAGGACTCATTCTTCAAATGAACCTGCTGTGCTATTGTCCCATGCAAGTCCTGAGGGCCACACACTTGCAGCTTCTCAGTGACTTCCAGGTGCTCTCAGGTATGAATTTTCAGGCCTACAATAAAGGCCTAGAAGACTTGACACTGGGCGTCTCTGACTTCTGATTGTCCTTTAATGCTTCCTTGCCTAATCTGTTTCATGTTTTTGGGTTTTCTGTGGGTTTTTTGCTTTGTTTCATTTCCTTTGATTTACTCAGTATGTGGGTATTCTTATTATCAACAATCCATCTTTTTTGAGTAATGTATGGTGTGTTGATGTCCCTTGTTCTTGTTGCAGTAGGAGTGGAAGGAAGGAGATATTGAAATGACTTTTCTTCCTGTTCCTGTTGGGAGAAATAGATGTAAATATGACTTTAGTAGACTTTGCCTCTCTGTGGAACAGAGCATGTGATAAGGATGGGGAGAAGATTCCATTAAAGCCAATGGTTTTAGGAGCCATTCTCAGTTGCACAACTGCTGATTTTTTATTATGATTGTTTATCATTTGTGTGCTCTAGAATCCTTCAGTTCCTTGTCATAATCGAGGTGAGCAGACAATTGCACCTCCCTTCTGGGTGTGGCTGCAGTGCATTATCATGTCATGATGGATTTGAGCAGTGAGGAGATGGCCACCAGGAAAACCTCACAGTGGCCTGGCATGGCAGAAAAAGCAGAGAGGGGAGCTCTGTGTGTGAGCTAGAGAAGAACTGGGTCATTGCCTTGCTTGTCACATGTCACAGATAACACCAGGCTGTGCCTGATGGAGTCCAGTGGGATTTGAGTTGCTTCTGTAGAACAAGGCAGACCTACAAAATGTTACTGCATCTGTCCATTTCCATGTGTTTCTGACTCTTGTATTGCTTGTTGTCAAGAGCTCAGGCTCAGGGTGTCTGATCTCATGTGGAAGGTCTCCTCTGTGCCAGCTGCCCGAGTGCAGGTGCAGCTCCCACACACACCTGGGATGTTTCCAGGTGCACAGAGGAAGGGTTTCACAAGCACTCCTGGTGTGCTCAGCCAGGAACATTTTGTCTGTAGTGGAATCATGCAGGATCATCTCTGCTGCAGCTGTCCAAGTGCAGAGTGACCACCCAGCCCAGCCAAGGTTTCCATGGACAGAGCAGGGCCCAGAGGGAGAAGGTGTGCAGTGTCCCCCAGGCCATCACCCAGAGGAACCTGCTGGGCAATCAGCTGGAGGCTGTCAGATGGCTGAGGAACAGGCTGGAGAGTCACCTGCAGAGAGTTCCAGGCAGTGGCTGCATGTCCAGTTGCAAAGCAGTGACTTGTGCTGTCCCTCCAGGGCCCTGACTGGGCCCAGTTCTGTTCAGCACCTGCATGGCCAATGGGATTGAGGCACCTTCAGGCAATTTGCAGCTGACACCGATTGGAGCTGATTGACTGCAGGGCAGAGATGGCAGCCAGGGATGGGCTGGAGAAGTGGCCCCGTGCA